ATCTGGTCAGGCCCCATTGAGCTCCAAATGACGGCCCGCCGACGCCGAGAGAAATGGCGTCCTGCTAGCTTGAGAAGCTTTGCTGGATCTTCACCTCTGCTGAGGCCCAACGATCTAAAATGTGGGCAATTTAGTGTTTGGTAGCAAAAAAAAATGCCAGTATGAATGTTTCCGAAACAAAAGGTTTCAGTTCTCGTTGCGCGCTTAAGATGCATTGTAACTTACTTGGTGTGTATAAGTGTGGGAGAAAAATGTGGGAGCCACACCCCTCATAAAATGTTTGCCAAGTTCGTATGAATGAACTTAACTAATAAAACAGCTCTTTTCACATTTTATTTTTCCAAATATTTAGGAATAGTGACGAAGGCATTACACCTCAATTGTGCATAAATGCGCAAGGAAAATCATCCTGGCGCCGCACACCACAAAAAATGAGTGGAAAGTAGCTTTTATTGCTGTTTCAATTTTCTTTAGAGTACTTCGTAATCTTAACCAAGGCATGACATTTTAAGTATTTGCATCTTAGTGGGGTGCGGGGAGAAACCTGGAGCCGTACCTCACATAAAATTGGCGGATAGTAAATGGGACAAAATATCTGGAGCCACACCCCTTTTGAAATGAGTGGCTAGTAGCGACGGAACGTCACCATATTTGATTTTTGGAAAACACTTCTGAATCTACACCTCGGACAAATGTGCAAAAACAGAAATAGAATTGATGAGACCCCCGTAGCTGCAGTCGGCATAAACGATTTTTGGAAATGAGTTTTCATGAGAACGAACGGGAATGTGAATCACGGGTATGCTCCTTATCCGAGAGCTGCACCCGATGGCACGAGCATTTGTTTTTTTCACTAACTCATCAACAAACATCAATGGAAACTGCCCCTGCCCCCCCTCCCCACCCCTCTCCATACTGTACTTCGTAAACTTGACCCATACATTAAACCATCCGCACACCCCATTTAAAATGCTGCTTCCTGCCTGCCAATATCGACAATAAACAGCAATGAAAATAAATCAATTCATTTTATGCAGAGTCCGACAACAAATTCATAATTAGGTGTATGCTTCTAAACGTGATGCGCATGTCATTCTAGAACCGCACCACATATAAACCTGACCACAATCCTTTTTTTTTTTTTTTTTTTTGGAGTAATCATGCAAACTAAAATGCGGCTTTTTGTTTTTTCAAAAACCGACATAAAAGACCAGACGCAATCTCCTCGGCGGAGGTAACTAAGGGTGAACTATGCACTCACGACACCTCTGTAAATAGCAGGAGAGGTCACAGGGACACATTAGAAATAACATGTACACACAGTATGCACACACTGGCTACCATTAAAAGCATAATCAAGTAGCCGCAGACGAGTGGACTTTCACCTCTTCCTGTGTTCTTTATTAACAGTGGCCCACGAATGCGTTCAGGTGAGGCTGTTAGCTAATGATGCAAACGGGAGATAGCGACTATACGAGCCCGGTCTGAAGGTTTCAAAGCGGTTGTTTTGGGGCGGGCGCAGGTGAGCAGCAGGTAGGACGGTTTGACCATGGGGGGGGAGGAGGGGGAGAGACGGTAACACAGGGCCGCCTTGTGCCGTCGTCCCGAGCGCAATTGTGGCGGAGGACAAAGCCCTGATTCAGCACATCTTTTCCCCCATGGGGGGGAAAAAAAAAAAACTGGAAACCCAAGACGGCGGCCATACAGCCCGACGCCCCCTCCTCCTCCTCTCCTAACCACCACCGCCGCCGATCCCATGTCTCCCTGCCTGTGTCTCTATCTGTCTTTGGCCCGTCACGTTGGCAGCGGCCACGCATCAAAGGCAAACACAGAACAATGCGAAGGCCCAGCCAGGAATTTGAAGAGCTTTTATTTTTAACAGGAATTTCAGGCAGCAGCGGCGTGTCGTGTCCCGGGAGGGCGATCTCAGCGTGCAAAGAGAAATTGGAGGAGGGCAAATAAATTATCGTTAGTTTCAGTTAGTTCTATGGATGTGAAATATAGTTTCGGTTGTGTGATTTCTTTCTTTCTTTTTTTGGAGAACACTCATTTTTATTTTACTTTGTTTGCAAAAATCCCATTTTAATTTGAGTCATTCTTGAACAATAACAAGGGTGGCCCGGTGGTCGACTGATTAGTGCGTTGGCATCACAGTGCGGAGGTGCAGGGTTCGATTCCGGCTGCGGCCTTCCGATGTGGAGTTTGCATGTTCTCCCCGTGCCTTCGTGGGTTTTCTCCGGGTATTCCGATTTCCTTCCACATTCCAAAAACATGCATGGCAGGCTGAGTGAACACTCTAAATTGTCCCTCGGTGTGAGTATGAGCACGGATGGTTGTCCATCTATGTGTGCCCTGCGATTGGCTGGCAACCGCTTCAGGGTGCCTGCTGATAGCTGGGATCAGCCCCAGCATGGCCCGCGACCCTTGTGAGGAAAAGCGAATCCGAAAATGGACGGCTGGATGGATGGATGGAACTCTAACAATCTTGGCCCGGACCCCTTTTGCATCCACTATTAGAAGTTGAGCAGCATGCTAACTCCTTTGAGTATCATTAATCTGTTCAATAGAGATTGGAAGCAGGAGTCCAGAACATTCACAAAGAACTATTCCAAATTATAAACGAGAAGCGCAACATTTTCCAAAGCCTATCACTGTCTGCTTTCCTGTTCCCGCTGTATTAATCACCATGACACAGGCGAGGCGACTCAATTTTCTGCTCCCGTAGGTAAGGTGCGGCGGCGTCGGAGACGGCTGGCGTGAGCCATGAAAACAGGCGGCTAATCTTTGCTTACCGGTGTAATTGAAATGCTATCCACACTGTAGGGTGCATTAAAGTCTGATAACAGCGGTTCCTGTGGCCAATTTAAGTAGCTCGGCTCGGAGGGGGAATAAAGCAGAAGGGTGAGGGAGGAACGGGAGGGTGGGGAGGCCGGTGATAGATAAGGCTGACAAACCGGGCTAATTCTGCAGGCATGTTTCTCATTGTGATCCAAGCAAAAAATGAGACGAAGAGAAAAAAAAATGGATCGGAGAAGCAAAAAAAAAAAAAAAAGAAAGGAAAAAAAATCAATTGACCCTCGGGTGGCTTGTCGGCCCGCGCGCCTGATAAACCTAAAAGCTTGGTTAATGTGGGCCCGCCTGTACCCGGCAGATAGAGCACTTTGTAAATGAACCCGCTTTGATAAATATATTAAGGAAAGCTGCGAATAAAAGGCGCAGGCTTGTCATTTGTAAATAGAACCCCCCGCTACACGGAATTAGAATGATAAAATGGGGTTCCATATAATTAAGTTTGTGTAAGACCTGAAATCCGTGCAAATACCTTCCCGGCGCGCTGAAAGGAGCCTGTCACTTCAATTAATCTGAACATCACCCTGAGAATGTACGGAACCAAATTAAGCCGCAGATAAAACCGGGGCTAGTATTTTGATAAGTAATTCCTGTATCATTTCTTTGCTTCTGTGATCATTTTATTTAATCCACCACCCCCAGTTATGTGCTAAGCCGTCTACAAAGGCCTCACCGGCCTGGCCACCGCCACCTTAATCCCACTGTATAGCTGCCGTGCATCGGGGAGGGGGCGGTTGGCGCTTTTTGTGTGGGGGCACCCATGGTGGAGCTTGCGATGGCTTTGGGTAGCTTATGATCTCCCTTAAATAGATCGCAGTCAATACATGTGTAACATGCCACAAAGAGGCGCTGACTTAAGCGATAACCGGAACATCCTGCTTGCTAACGCATAACAATATTACCAAGTGTGTGCGCGTTTACGAACTCTGTGTGTGTGTGTGTGTGTGTGTGTGTGTGTGTGTGTGTGTGTGTGTGTGTGTGTGTGTGTGTGTGTGTGTGTGTGCTTGGTAGTACGCATGCACACAAATGGATTCCACACTTTTTTTTCCCATGGGGGTTAATTTCAGCCCTACTATACACATACAATACATATTTGTATTGTGTGTAGTACTATTCCCATCATTCAAAGCATACACACACACACACACAAAATGTTGCAACAATGCAACGAGAAGCAACCATCTAGCCTTGCTAGCCTAGCTGGTGAAGCTTGCTAGCACCACAATTATTAACTTAACCATATATTTGTGATGTAATAGTTCGAATTTTGAAGAATGACCTTACAATAGCTTACTGCGGAGCTGAGAAAAAGGTGTCCACGTTGAGCTTGGATCCTGATACTTGGGACTGAACCGACTGCCAACAAATGCAAAGCCTCACCCAGACCAACAGAATCAAGAAGCAACAGTGTCCCTTTCAAGCTGACTCACTCTCTATTTACCATTACGTTCATTCAAGAGCAATAAACAATAGAGCAATACAAACGTAGCAGCGAGCAGCATTTAGCGAGCCTCCTTAGCTTTACTGCTAGTGCCAAGGATAGGAAAACGACTCATGTTAGTGAAATAAAATGATAATTTTGGGTAACAAGCTAACAAAAGGATACCTTTGATCAGACAAATGTGTGACTGTTGGTTTTGAGGGATTCAAGTGGCATGACCACATTTCCGTTGCTTTATACCGGTCAACGGTAGAAAAACATCAGAAAGGGATCTTGAAGATGGCTAGTTCTCAACTCACTATTACGATCTATTCACAGCATGTAGGAATAGATCAATCCAAAACAATGCAACCAGTTAGCCTCGTTAGCTTACCCGCTAGCCCCATGGGCAGTAACTCACATTACCGATGTAATGAAAATCAAGGGACATTCTCTCTAGTTTCAATTACAACCATCCAAATACATATAGTCTGCTGACAACCAAGAGCTAGCGCCCTTGGCTCATCTGGCTAGGCTGCCAGAGATTACACCGAGGCCTTTCATTTGTAACAAAAATGTATCAACATTTTTTCCAGAGCTTGCCTTTATCTGTTTGCATTTGTCATTGCTCATGCAGCTGCAGATCCATGTCAAGACGTATATGAAGCCGGACATTCCCCACCCACATTTCAGAAGAATGAGGCAAGCGCAGGTTAAAATGTGGACTCACCAGTTGTTAACTTGTAAGATGGTGAGGCCCGTGTCTTGGGCTAGCTGCTTCTTCTGCTCTTCAGACGGGTACGGGTGCTACGGGAGAAAACAAATACACACTCATTATCTTCATAAATATAGACAGGCATGCCACGGCGTTAAATTCCTCGCGGTTTGCCAGTTGCTTTCGACATTTTTGTTTCCCCCCATGTTGGCGGCATTGGGCTGCACCTTGGTGACCTTCACCCAACCCCGCCGCTCCCTTTGCATGGTATAGACGTGAGCGGCAAGCACGTGTTCGCCCGCCGTCGACGCAAACGCACGTATACAATTGAGCTCAACCTGTCAGAGCTGGCTCAACAAGTTTGTCAAAACAAGTCAGCCTTACGGATTCCCCCATCTTCACACTGACAATGCGTAGTCTCGACATGTATGCACATGGTCGAGACTTCATCGCTACATACGCCCTCCACAGTTTAATTCACAAGAAAATCCTGTTTTATTATTATTTAGAGTTTTCTTTTCATGTGCCAACTCATCGTCTACTTCTAACAGCCAGCGAGCGTGATCAATTGTCACCGATGGCCATTTTGCTATTCAGGTCTTTGGGCGTGATGTTCCTAAGTAACGAGCCCCATCTTTTTCATGCAATCCAACAAAAACGCGTGGAAAAAAAAAAAACCCCGACACAAATGCGTTGATATTGTGACTTGCGAGGATGCTTTCGACCCGTCAACAGTCGAGACGTCATTGCTGTCGGCTCCGATGGAGGCAACACGGGCTGACGTGTGCATGGCGGGGCGGGCCTTGGGCTGCTTGGCTATGAAGCATGACAAAACAACAGTGATTGCCACTGACAGATGTCTTGAAAGGCCAGATTAGGAGCCGAGTTGCATGCAAACGACACAAACGAGACACTGTGTTTGTGTGAGCGCACACGCGCGCGTGCGCATCGAAATATTCATAGAGTTGACACCTGCAAATCAGCGCAGGCACAAGAATCCCTTTTAAAAGATGACATTTAAATCCTCCTCGATTTTCAGGTGGTTTCAGGCTCCATTAACATTCTTTGCTTTCAAAGAAGACACCTACATGTCTTACTCCCCCCCGCACCCCCACCGACCCCCAAGATGTTTCCTCTGCGCGCCCATACAAAAAGCAGATTAACGCAGGAGCGCCTGCGAAATGTTTTCAATTGTATTTTTTGCATTGATTCTTTTTGTGCTGAGATAATAGAGGCACACCGAGGTAACAGAAGCGGGGGAATAAAAATCTCGATCTGTATCTACACCAAAAAACGTTTTGGGTCTTCATTAGCCCATTGCATAACCTTCCTCAAAATTTTGTGAAATCCGGTTTAGTCGTTTGTGCTTGAACCTACTAACTAACTAACAACAACAACGACAAAAACGTCAGCATTTGGACGTGTGTAGCATTCCAGTCGTTTTTGCATTAACCTGGTCCCCGTTTTTTTTGTCAGCGAGAAATTTTGAACATGCGACGGTAAGAACTGTCTTTACAACTTTTGTCTTTGCAACATTTTGCAATGTTTTACAAACCCTGACGAAATCCAAAATTTGCGACATTTGCAAGCATCCACCGCTTGGTGAAATACCAATTTAAAGAGGCTAACTAATAAATGCTCGCAAGAAAACAAAACAAAACAAAACAACACAAAACACAGGAAACAAAAAAATGAAAGCACAATGGTGGGGGCAACATAAGATGACAAAAAATTTTAAAAACTTTATTCTGGATCCACGCTAAAACTGTATGGGTTCTTCCTTGTCTCTAGAGAAGATTGCTTTTACAGCCTTTACGCTAACTAACAAACGGAAATTACAAAACAAAATGACAGCAATTAAAAAAAACAAAAAAAAAACACACACACACACACACAAAACATCAGTCGTACCAAAACTGGGAATGTATTTAGTTTTGGCTCTCGAGCCACTCCAAAATTGCAACCTATGTAAAAAAATAAATAAATAAATAAAAACGTACTAGCCTCGGAAAAAAAGTGCCTGAATCTGCTGCCAAATTTGTCTTTCTTTCTCAAGATTTTGCAAAAAATCTTTTTGGCCGTTTTTACTTGACTCTGTAAACTCCGAAAACTCTTCATTGTGTTGCCATTGAAACGCTCTTATTTAATTAAAACCCGCTTTGAAGTGCACTCAACGACTAGAGAAGCTCCCTTGGGTTGAACAAATCACGACTCCTGTCTGCGCGGAGGGATTAATCTAACGTGTCGTCCTTTGCTGATATGTCAAATTATCGACAACGTAATACATAATGCACTTTTTTTGATTGCCAGGTGTTGACAGTTCTTTGGCTTGTCAGATGGAGCGACTTCACCGACTTACTCGTGTGTACTCGTGTGTGTTTGCGCGCGGCCATGTGCACGTTGCAAGCTTATGAGTGACACAGATATGCCATTTTAACACCTCGCCGCGCATGGGCGGTGATTTTAAATTTGACGCGTTCCCATTTTGAATTTGTTTGGGCACAGTTTTCAAGCAATTCATGTGTTCAGAAAGCCATTTTTTTAGTGAAAGTAATGCACATGGAGTATGTGCCAGTTCTTTAATAATAATTAAAAATCTGTATGAGCTTAAAAAAAAATTATTTACTGTAAATTCACTTTTTTCTTCAACATCAACTGGATATATCAGGTAGAGGGGAGCAATGAATGCTTGGAGATGATGAGCATGCATTCATTCAAAAAAAGGCGATAGCATACGTACAGTATTTCAAATAAATGTACTCCCTTTGTTTTGTTTTTTTTTGTACGGTACGCCGCAAAACTGATCAGAGGCTAAATAAGGAAATTTGAAGGTAAGTAAACAGCGAGGATGGTTTGGCAACTCAAGTTAAGAGGTGGGACGAGCATATGCGTGCAACAACATGTAATGTCTGTGCGGTCTCCTTCCCCCCCCCCCCCCTCCCCCTCGCTTTCCATCATCACTTATGTGCTTCTCTGTGTTTTCGTATTAACTTCGACCTCGGTCAAACTCGTGCCCTCCGTTTCCACCCAAACAGTGAGGGTGACATGGAGATTGGAAATGGGGTTGGGCCATTTACCTTGTATTACACTTTATGCAGCCTCCGTCATCCATCCCCTGCAGCCTACTGATAAAAACACGCACCAAACACCGTGTTCGTATGAATAATAATCATGAGTGGACGGAAACAACAAGACGAGATGTCTCATCAAAGGAGATTGAGGTTGTTTAACACGACCGGCAGAATAGCTACGAACGAACAACAATGCTGAGTAACCTGCCAAAGAATTTGTTTCCGGGGTTCAAACTGCAACTTACAGCCATACACGTGTTGAAATAAACTCCAACACTTTAACATTAATACGTGTCGTCGAATATTAACACTCAGGGCTCTATTTCGGGGAATTTGGCAGAGCGCGCTGCGCCATGCGGGGACGGTGCGGCAGACCGAGGGCTCATCTGACAGCTTGGTGACAGAAAATAGATTAAGCTTTAGACCAGCTAAAAGTAGGTCTAAGTTGTGGCTCAGGTTGCGTAACATGATTTTGGTGGATTTGATCGAAGCGCAGGCTGACAGATTCTGCGCTCCGGAGATATGTGTGGTGGATCTCAGCACATTTCATTCATAAATGGGACTACAGTGTGTATCGACTGTGCTGCATCATTGTAGAAATTATGATCATCTTTAAGTTAAGTTTAAGTTAGTTCTTAGATTTAAATCACCCTCCTCCCCCCCAGGCCACGCCAGAGCTATGGATGGGTGGTTGATGGGGTGGTGTCACACAGGGATAATCGATCTGGGATGGAAGGCGGTTTCCAAGTGCCCACTTCACAGTAGCCAATTTTACATCATCAGCAAGTGGAAATCTTCTCACAATTTCTTCTTAACGTACTTTCTATGAGACTCGCACATCTGTTGATGCTTCCGTCATTTATACCTTGCGTTTGTCTCGCGCTGAATTTAAAAGGAATTTTGGGGCTGTGTTCACTCCCACAACGGTGGAAAATGCCCCTTTCTAACTGTGTGTAGCTACAAAAATACTAAAAGAAAGAAAATTCCACTAAACGCGACTTGTGTCTTTCTTTCATTGTTTCTTTGTTGTTTTTTACATTCACATATTTGTAATTTTACATTGTTTCACCATAAGTACTTTAATTTCATCTTGAGGGGCTAATGAAAAATTCATTACATTGTGGCCAACATTTTGATAACGTTTTGAAGCCCCCCAGATAAGCCTTTGGTAACATTTGGACAACGTTTTACAAGTTTGTGTATTTTGATTCTAAATCGTACAAACTCGGGGGAGGGGTCCTTCACATGAGTTCCACTGATTTTGGTTCAGCCCCCCCATGCTCATGCCACCCTAACTGCTTTCTTACCACCTCCTCTATCGAACCCCCCCCCCCAAAACTCTGAAAGCCACACTCACCAACCCTCCAACACGCCCTCTTTACGATTGTGACTGCAGGCCACCCACACTTTATGTTGTGGCAGCTTTGGGGCTCACGCATGTCAGCTACAAACACACAACCAAGCGCACACACACACACCAACGCACCGCCACGCACAAACAGATGGACTTGAGAAGCGAGCCGCCATGGTGGGCCCGCTGGTTACGAGGGGGCAGCAGCCGTGAAATGACTGTTTAGACCTCCGAGTAACCTCGTCACGTTAATTGCGCCGCGGTGGAAGTGGGTGGGAATCGCAGATACGCTACCAGATTTGATATCTCTACTAAAGGATACCGGTCCACAGACTGGTGGTTGGGGACCATTGAATTATGGGACTTGTAGTATCAGCTGTGCACACATTGTGCCAGTTAATAGAGATATGTGAAACTATTTTGCAGACCAAAGTAAAAATAATTGCAAGTGACAGTGTTGTAAAAAAGAGAAAAAAATCACATGCATTATACTTGCTTGAACAGCCCTGAAATGATTCCACATCATCACTAGCGATATGGACCGGAAAAAATAACCTGGGTTCATCTTTATTCAAATCAGTGGCCTAAACCCATAAAAAAATTACATACAATATCATACAAAAAAATTATAATTTAGAAACGTAGGGGGAGAAAAGAAAATCCAAGATCC